CCACTCAATCCACTCCGTAACGGGGTTTTCACCCATGGAAGTTCTATTCGGGATGCGCAGGCCAAGGCGGGATTATGGGGAAACTACGCTTACCGAACCGTTAGTGGATCAAATTCTCAGCAATAGGGTAGAGGTAGAGAAAACATGGGGAAAGATAACGGCGAGAATTAAGCGGGAAAAGCAGAAGCGGGTGGAACGGCAGAATGTACAAGTTCGCGACCAAATGGGGGAACTAAAAATAGGAACAATAGTTTACCGGAAATTGGGAACCAACAGAGGGAAACAATTGCTACGGTACGAGGGTCCATTCAGAGTGGTTGTTATTAGGGAGCATAACCTGGTAACTATTGAGAGCGTGAATGAGCCCAGAAAGAGGAGAACCGTTCATATCGAACAATTAAAGCTCCCAATGATAGAGTCGGGACATAGACCTATGGATTCGTAGTACCCTCACCGCTGTAGATAAAACAGAGGAATATGTTTTTTTTGTGGCTGTCAAAACAAAACAAGTTGTAAAAGATTTTTTTTTTTTGTTTTTTTTGTTGTATTATTTCATGTATAGAGGAAATTGTGTTTTTTTTTGTTGTTGTTAGGAGTTCTCAAGTGGTAGGAGTTCTAAAGTGCTGTGTTTAGTTTCAGTGTTTTTAATTATTTCTTCTGTATTTAATATTTTTCCAGTTGAGTGGAACTATTTTATTTTCTTTTAAGGATGTACTGTAAAACCAATTGTAAAGTGTTAAGGCTGGTCACCGTGGGCTCCGATCTAGCAATATTTAAGTTTCCGAAAATCCTGTTCGTAAACTGGTGGGGGGGAGATAAAGACCGGAGACTGGCGGTATCAGCCTTAATACTATCTGGTAATGTAAATAAACAGGCTAAGTGTATATAAGGAGGCTTATGGAACGAATAAAGTAGTGTTATTTCAGAAGTCGTGTATGTTACATCTTTTCCCTTTTCCTTCTTTTTTTTTGTTTTCTAAGCCCGACGACGCTTAACTTGTATACATCTGTATATATTTTTATACGTGTTGTGTTGGTGTGAATATATGGGAACATGTATATATATATATGTATGAGTGTCGTCAGTGTCTATATGTATATGTATGTGTGTGTATATATGTATACACATATTGTCGTTACTTCAATGGAACTGTAATGGTTTAAAAACTCACTTTAACAATTTAAAAATACTAATTAAAGATATAGACCCGTTTTGCATTGCCCTACAAGAGACATACCTCACAATAAAAGACAATTTTTCTATAAAAAATTTCGATATATACAGAAAAGATAGCCCATACCCAAACCACAGTCACCACAGAGTTTTAATAGCTATACATAAATCCATATATTCCGAATCAATTAACATTAATTCCCACCTTCAAGTTGTTGCAATCAGAGTTCACAAAGAGTTTTCATATTCCATCTGTAATATATACCTTCCACAAGACCATACTACAGACACACAACAACTCTTAGATATCTATAGCATTTCCAAGTCAATTTCAACCTTTTCCAAATCAAATTCAACCTTTTCCAAGTCAAATTAAACCTTATCCATTTCAAATTCAACCTTTTCCAAGTCAAATTCAACCTTTTCCATTTCAAATTCAACTTTCGAATTTTTGTCAATTTTCGATTTTTTTCAAAATGAAGGCCACTTACTATATTATCAAAGGCATAGCTTTTGAAAAATACAAAAAAAAAATTGATAACGCGGTTGCATGTCCATTTATTTTAACATTTTAGATTTTTTCAGTGTGATATTTCTATGTCATGTTCAATTATTTCCAAGTCAAATTCAACCTTTTCCAAGTCAAATTCAACCTTTTTCAGATCAAATTAAACTTTTTCCAAGTCAAATTCAACCATTTCCATTTCAAATTAAACCTTTTCCAGATCAAATTAAACTTTTTCCAAGTCAAATTAAACCATTTCCATTTCAAATTAAACCTTTTCCAATTCAAATTCAACCGTTTTCATTTCAAATTAATGTTTTAATTTTTTGTAAATTTTATATATTTTTTTAAAATAATGGCCATCCTCTCCCCCTCCCTCCCCCCTCTAATATGAAAGTATATTATTATGCTCTCCTAAGTAGAATTTTCACTTACTGATATCGATTTATTGTACCTATTCGGATTTATTAGAGACTAGTATTATGCTATCCTGTACCTAGTTTTGAAAATAACCTCCATTTTAAGATCACGTGACTGCGTTTCGAATCATTTAAGTTTTTTTGACTTATTCGATATAAGGGTGTATTTTTATGTTTCCCGATCAGTAAATTTTAAGATTAGGCCACTGTGTTTTGACTTATTTAAGTTTTTAGAATTTATCCAATATGAAGGTTTACTTTTATGTTTCCGGAGCCGTAGATTTTGAAAACGACCTCCATTTTAAGATTAGTGCATACATTCTAAAAACAAACACTCCTAACTCACCCGAAATCTACCTCGGAAATTCCATAATCCCGCACTCGAACCATCATAGATTCTTGGGAATGATCTTTGACCGAAGACTAACTTGGGAAGACTAACTTTCTGCTCTAAAAACAGCCACTACAAAAAGAATAACTACCTTACGATATCTAAGCGGTACTTCCTGGGGCTCAGACAGACTTACGCTAATAAAACTCGATACAGTCCACCTTACAGGCATTAGGATTAGAATAGTGACTGGCACGTTTCGAACAAGCTCCATCATTAGTCTCTACTCTGAAGCCGGAATACCCCCTCTTTTATTTAGAAGGAAAAAACTGGCTGTTAACTACATTTCAAGACTAATTCCCCAAAATAAACATCCTACCCATAACTTCATTTTTAAAACTAAATTTTCAAACTCTTTTAGAAACAAAACAAATCCACACTCCCACTGTCAGAAAGAATTTATTCATCAGCTCAATCCCTTATGAACTTACCTTTATACAATATAGAAAACCAAAACCCACCTTGGATCCACAAAAATGATGCTCCATCTCTTTCGATTACTCAAAAGCAATACCTCACCTTACGAGTACAAAACCAAATTTTCCTGTCTACTATAAAATATTCCAGAACTATTAATTTACACTGATGGTTCGAAATCCTATAATGCTACAGCTTCTTCGTTTGTTACTGATAACTCCACACATAAAATAAAGCTACATAAACTAAGCAGCGGAACTTCACGCAATAGCCTCGGCCCTCCACTTCTGTATGTCCATAACTCCAGTTTCAATAGTCTTGATAACCAACTCCTTGAGTTCATTAAAGGGTTCAAATGATATGTACTCAAAACTCTAATTATTCTTAAAATACACAAATACCTTCACAATCTTGAAAATTTAGGAAAATCGGTTTGCTTTATATGGGTTCTCAGTCATGTGAGTATAGTTGGTAATGAGCTTGCGGATACGGCAGCCAAACAGGCACTCTCGCTCCCAGACCGAGGTACTCCTATCCTGACCCCTCCAGAAATGAGTTTTCCTCTCAAAAAAGAAATATTGGATAGTTCACAATCTATGTGGAACGATAGCACACCTAGCAAATTAAAAGTTGTTAAAAAATCAGTGAAACCCTGGACCACATCAAACCACCCTAATCGTAGAGAGGAGGTAGCCGTGACCAGGTTAAGAATAGGACACACGAATCTAACTCATGTACATCTCATCACTAAGCAGCCACCAAATTGTCAACACTGCAATAGCCCTCTCACAATCAATCATATTTTCCAAGAATGCACTTATTATACTTCAAGCCTAAATCGATTATCTCTAAAACCGGATATATCAGCAGGTATTAAGCAACAACGAATCAAACATAAAAACAGTGATAAATTTCTTAAAATCCATAGGCTATTAAATAAAATATAAAAATAAATATAATTTTTATTTTATTGCTCTTTCTTTTTTTTATATATTTATTTTAATATTTTTCATTTTTTATATATTTTTCCATCTATTATTAATTTTTGATTATTCATTCTTTTTTTTTTATTTCTCCTCTAAAGAGTTTACAAATAAAACCGACTCACAGGCGTTGATAACCCTAGGATTTTACGCCTTAAAGCCTAAATAAACAAACAAACAAAACATAAAATCATTGATTATGCAGCTATCATTAACAACTGGACGTTAAATAGGAATATAAGTCAATAGCTCAATACTGTAAATTAACATCTCTACTTTATTGCTTGAATTATTTGCATTTAAAAGGCAAATATTAGGATTATGAATACTTAGTTGGTAATTTAATACAATAAGAATCAATTCTTTGTGATAGAGATCTTTTTAAAAACACATGTTCATTACGACTTACGTTGATAAATTTCGGCAAAAGCAATACTTAATAATAATTTAAAAAATGCAAATATAGAGTGTATTTTTGTAATGAATTTACTTATGAGAAGGAGTTAGTCGAGGGTGCGGTCAAATAAATAAAAAATTAAAATAATTAATATATTTTAATTTTTTATTTATTTGACCGCACCCTCGACTAACTCCTTCTCATATTATATCAACGGTCAACCATCTCTTCATCATTATGAATTTACTTATGGTTTGTCCTTTGAAATATATAGAGTATGGGACTCCCGTAGTCTCCTTTTTTTTTACTCTTTTTTCTATTTTAAGTTCTTTTGACTGCCATCGATTTAGTGTGATAATTTCAAATAATTTTCTAAAATATTTTTTTATTTAATCTTTTTTTTTTTTTTTAAGAGAAGAACATACAAATTTTCTTCCTGAGCAAGGATTATTTTCTAGAATATATGTGTATAATTTGTTTATTTTAAGTATTAAGGATTTCTTTATCTTTATTGTATATATACCTTTACCTAAATATGTTTTTAATGTATATGTGGTTAATTAGTATGGCAAAAGAAACAAATAAAAAGTATCATACAAATCTGAGAACATATATTTCATTTTAATTTTTGGCTGGATGATTTGGGCTTATCACTTTTCATTTCATATTATTTATAACAAGTTTTCATTATTAATTTGAATTTTTTTATGACTAGGTTATCGAAGAATTGATTATGGAAAAAAGAAAACATGAACATGATACAGCTCAAGGAGATGACATTACATATGGCTTAGAGAAAGAACGTTCACGTTTAAAGCAAGTATGTATTAAAGTTTGTTTGTGTTTATAAGTAGCTATATATGTGATATAGCTACTTATAAACACACTGATTTGTTTAAAATACACTGATGGACAAAATGAATGCATCACTGGAATATTTTAAGTTTAAATTAAACTAGTTGTTTCTAGCTTATATTTTCTTTATCTATTGGTATTTAAGAGATTTCAGAGTAAATATATAAATGATAAATAATGCTTCGATTACTCTTAAGCATTACTTTACTCTTGATTTCCAAAGACATCAAGAAGATTCCTAGCATTAGACTGATACAGTTTCCCTGTCCTAAACTTGTTTTCATTAGTTCTTTTTCATCAACCTAGTGCCAATCTCAATGGCAGGAGATAGTCATTTAAGTGAGTTTGACAGTGACATTGATAGAGGAAGGATACAACTAGCATGAAATCACTAGAAGACTGGGAGTTCATCATACAACCATCGGAAGAGCTCTAAAACCTTTTAGAGAGACTGCTCAACACTTTATAAGAGAAGGACAGTTGGCATATCTGTACAGAAGCAATTGAAGATATATACATCAGACAATAGGCTCTGCGAAACTGCAGTATCATGGGAAGTAAGGTTAGAAAGCTTATTGGGCAAGTCCGAAATTTGTCAATTTCCATCAGGACTGTTGGATGTACCTTAGAGCTTTACAACCTGCCTGTGTCCCTTTGCTTATTTTATTCATTTTTCAGGTGTAGCGCACCACAACCATAAGGATCTATTGTACACTATTTTCTAATTTGTTTTATGCTAAAATGTTGGTTTTGTCACTTCAGCCTATTTTAATAGGCTTATAGGATTGATAGACTCATAGATTCTGGACTCAGCCACTTGGTCCTCCCCAAACAGTTAGAATCTAAGCTTAGAAAACCTATCTCTCTGACAAACAATGTGAAAAGCTATTCCATTCTCCCCATGACAGAATCTACATAGTGGATTGATTCCTGGTTAGTCGGAGATTGTATATATGATAGTTTAACCTATAGTGTCCAGTGTAGATCGCTGTAAGTTTTTTAAGTGTTGTTCTATCGAAACTGAGTAGTAGCTTACTCCTTATATCATAAGATCCTTCAAGGAACAGCTTTGAATTCCCGCTGTACCTTATTGGACCAATACTGCTTAAACTTGGCACCATATAACTCCCTAATCTTTATTATGGTAATACTAAGACTAATACCATAAGCAGGTTCAGGAATTATGGGAATAGTGTCTGAGCCTAACCTGGCTAGTCTCAGCAACACCAGACAAGTGTGACATAAAGGTGTTCTCAGGGGAAGAAACCAATTGAAACTACAAAGGCTCTGAAAACTCATAATAAAATTTTGTAAATCTTGCCATCCGGCTAGAATAATTCTAATAGATTTAAAAATAAACTTGAAACTTTTAAACATTTAAATTTATGTATTAACCATAAAAATAAATTACACTTGATGTAGACCTCCCAAACACTGTAAATATTGGATTCACCATGCTATATAGTCAAAAAATCTTTCATGGAAGCAAGGAAGGAGAAAATGTGAGATATGCCTGACTGTTTAAAAATAAAAATGAAAACTGATATAAGCTCAATACAGATTGTGAAAAGAATGTTCAATTAACCAAGTTTCTTCTTCTTTTTTTGGCGCTATAATCCGTATGGAACCAAGGTCTCCTGTAACATCAGTCGCCAGTTATTTTTGTTCAAAGCAAGCAATTTCCAGTTTTGAATATGAAGAATAGATTCTGCATCAGCCGCCACATCATTAATCCAATGCAGTTTGGGTCTTCCAATTGGTCTTCTTCCAAATAGCTGTTCAGTGAGGAGCTTCTTTGGAATTTGGTTATCAGGTATCCTACCCTCATGGTCTGCCCAACAGAGTTGACCAATCTTCATAAATCTTAACCAAGCTAGTTATAAAATAAATTATTGGTGGAAGTATTTAGACTTTTATACATATAAGATATGTGATAGATAATTAGGACTCAGTCAATTTTTTTTTTAGATGTTCTTTTAAATTCCAAAAATTGACTGAATTCTGATTGTATGCATGAATATATCAATGTTATCTATAGTTCTAATGAGTGTATCACAACTTATGAATTTCTTTTTAAGGACTTAGAAGTAGAACGTCAAGCTAAAAAACGTCTTGAAAAAGACTTGAAGAAAATTTCTGATGTTTCTGATGAAGATAAAAACAGACAAAAACAAATAGTTTTACTCCTTCTAGCTGAACGGAAAAAAATTATAATGAAATATATTGAAGAAAGGAAACGTTCTGAAGACTTAGCTCAGGTTATTTACACATGCACTCTCATACAGTAAAACCTCATTTATCTGTAATTATGGCTATTCCAGATAATGTAAAATTCTTAAAAAGATATGATATGATCAGTGAATAAAAAATTGTTAATATTAATCACATTTTTCTCGAACAAAAATTATAAACGTTTTTATAGAAATACCTACAACAAAACTATTTGCTATTGACAACATATAGCTTATTTTTTTTAAATTAATGATAATCTGACTTCTGTTAATTAGTTTTAAATAGTTCCTTTCTTATCCAAACTAATACATATTGTTAATTGTGAACATTTCCAGCTATTAATTCCCATCAGCTGAACTAAAACTTAACAATTTGCATCACATTAATAATCTACAATAGTAGAATTACTCTGTAACTGATATCTTATCTTTTTCCTCCTTTGCCATTTCTAGCGATGAGGAGCTTCTATCCAGTTCAGCCACTCCTCCCAGTCACTGCTTAAACGTTATATCTGATTAAATGATTTGCCTCTTTTACTTCCAATCCTCTGTACAAGTTCCTGGTGTGAAACTCTGAGATGGTTATGTTCTGCTGCTGTTACGTCTCTCCAACATGAGACCAGGCATGTAGACAGACCTAAACACATGGATCTTGGCCTTTTTATCCACTTCCTACCTCAGTATAACTGATTGGCCTAATTACAGACCTTAAGTAGTTGTATTCCGTCACCACCTCAAGCACTTCTCCGTTGTGACCAGTTGGAGGTTCTCCTGTTCTTGTCTTACCATAACTTGAATTTTTCTCTTACAGGCATTAATTATCATATCATTTTTCGCTTTGATGCATCGTTTAGAAGTTATTGGTAAAAAACAAAACAGATCAGAACAATTGACTTTTTTGGCTGTAAAAAGTTTTCCCTTTGTAGCCTGCATTAGCAGTTTTGTTTTTTACAATATATAGAAGTTAGAAAAATAAAAACTTTTCCCACATTTTTTTGCAGCGAATTTCCCACTTCGATCTTCAAGCTACTGATCTAATATTCATTAAATCAACCGCCATTTTTACAGTGAGCAAGATCCAACTGGCAGACTCTCATTTTTTAAATATAAATGTTATAAATATTCAAATAAATGCTTTCAAAGTTTTCAGCAAATAATATCGATTTTTTTCAGGCAGACTCTCATTTTTTAAATATAAATGTTATAAATATTCAAATAAATGCTTTCAAAGTTTTCAGCAAATAATATCGATTTTTTTCAGGCAGACTCTCATTTTTTAAATATAAATGTTATAAATATTCAAATAAATGCTTTCAAAGTTTTCAGCAAATAATATCGATTTTTTTCAGGCAGACTCTCATTTTTTAAATATAAATGTTATAAATATTCAAATAAATGCTTTCAAAGTTTTCAGCAAATAATATCGATTTTTTTCTCATGGGCTCTTAGACTGTTATGGATTATGCTATTATCCCAATTATTAGGAATTCTCTTTCTATTTTATAACAGCCTTTGAAGGGCTTTAAGAAGTTCTTTTCCACCAAATTTCGAACATTCTGTTGTGATACTATCACTTTCTGATTGCGAAAAATTTCCTCTTCTGTTTTTAGAATCTAGAATATATGTTCTATCTCTTCATCTTCTATACCTTTAGGCTACATAGGCTTTCTACAGATATGGGCTCTTGTTCTTGGCTGTGATGGGTTTCTGGATTTTCTGAAAATTGTTGCTGGAAATGTTGTTTCCATCTGTTAAGGATCTTTTTCTTCTCGTTTAGCATGGTTTATCATTACCCTTTATGTTTCTGAGCAGCTTGTTTGCTTGTTTTGCTTTCCTCTTAAAGTTTTAACTTTTCACCAAAAAGTTCTTATGGACTCAGCTTTTTATCAAAATCCCCCCATGAACATTTGTTGGTCCGACATATGGCTATTCAGTAAACACATAACTTTTCCTTTAAATTCATTAAAAATTATATTATGTTGCATGTTATAGTAATTATAATATAATTTTAGTAGGATATTAATTTGATATAAATTGTTAAAATTTATTTCCAAAGATGGGCATCAAATACCTTCAAACGCTAATAGTTATATTAATGCATTGGTTTTGACTTATACATATTTATTTAAGTCCAATTGCCTTTATTTGGCTAATCATGGCTTTCCACAAAATGTGAACAATAATAGTTTATTTAAAATTTTTAAAAAACTTTTCAAAATCCTTCATGTAATTAAAATGTACATTATATAATTTAATTTTATATCAGTTTATTGGCTACTTCAACACTTAGTAGACAAACGCTCTAAACTCCCAATTAACTACAAAAGAATCATATACATAACTATAATAAGGCCTATTTGGACATATTGAGTTGAGCTTTGGGGCTCCACTAAGCCATCAAATTCCTCTTGTATCCAATCCTTCATAAAATCCTAATAATGTCTGTGTCTGATAATCTAATAATAATGATGATGATGATCTATGATAATGTCTGACGATTTAATAAATTTAGTCCTGTGGATTTACAATCCAAAATCCTCAATGCTCCCTACTTTGTCACAAATAAAATCATCTATAATTATCTTAATGTTCCATATGTTTCCAATTTGGCCCAATCCAGATACCTATCTATCCATAATAAACTTCAGAACCATCCTAATCCTCTCGTTTCTAACCTTGTCTCCTCTTCGACCCCTGTTAACCCCCGAGGCGTCTGAAAAGATGGCCTCGTGATCTCCTAATTTAGATACTTTATTAGAGTACTACCAATGGGTAGATTCTCTACAAGTCTTTTCATGCTATTGTATTGTTTTGTACCAAATTTACTAGATTTATATTTATTTTTATATAGTTGTAAATTTTATGAATAAAAAAAAAATGTATCAGTTTATCAGTTTTATTGACAAAACTTAGAGTCATATGTAATAGTTTGAAGAAGATGGTGGGAGGGAATTCTCTTAATGAGTTGCTTTTGACTGGTCCACAGCTTCAGGCTGATATCACTGAACTTAGAGATCATTTTCAAAGTTTTTCTGTGGCCTTAACATGCGATATCAAAATTATATTTAGGTTTATCCGCATTGCGGAGACTAATCAAAATTTATTACATTTTTTTTTTTAGAGAAGTGAATTTTCACAGCCGATCCAGGAGTATGAGTTGATTACCCTGCCATTTGGTTTGAAATGTTTTCCCTTTATTGCTCAGAGAGTCATTTTACAGTTGTTTCAGTTAGAATACCAACATTTTCCTAAAGCTACTAAGTTTCTTGACCAAATTTATGTAGACAATGTAATCACTAATCACTGGTGCTCGCAATAGTGACAAAGCTCTGAAATTGTATCATGGGTTGATTTGGACCTTATTTGGACAAGGTGGGTTTAAACTCAGAAAATTCTCCAGCGATTCTGAAAAAATATTTTCCCTTATACCCGAAGTTAGTCAAGAAGTTCCGTTGTGCCTGGATGGTGTTTCCTGATCATCAAGGTTTTGGTTTTATTTTGGTACCAAGATTCATCTGTTAAGGGCAAAAATTAAGGTGGCCCCACTTAAAGTTCAATCGGTACCTCGTTTGGAGTTGAATGTTAATCTTCTTGCCTCCAGTCTACTTGCGAGCATTAGTAAACTTAAAAATCATTTGCGGATTAATGTGGTGTATTGCTTTTCGGATTCTCATAATGTTCTCTATTAGTTCCAGACACCGTCTCATGAACTTCAAATTTATGTTGCTAATCGGGTAATCCAGATTTTAGAGATTACACAACCCAGTTGTTGATACTATATCCCGAATAAACAGAATCCAAATTGTCTATCGAAAGGCCTCACACCATACCAGATTCTTTCCCATAATCTTTATTGGAACGTCCCTGCATTTATAATGTTACCTCCTTCTGGCTGGCCTATTTTCCATGTTGAACCTCCATCAGTTGTGTCTGAAATGAAAACAATATCTCTGTTAGCGGCTGAAAAAACAAATGATTTATTGGTTTATCTTGAAAAGTATTCATGCCTTTTGAAATTACAACTGGTTTTTGCTTTTATTTTGAAATTTATTAACACGTCACCTGCAGTTACGGTCCCTGGCGTCCGATAACTTTATATCAGACATAATGATTATTTACATTTGCATCTATCTTTACATCTATCCAACTCCCATTCAAAGATTTTTAAAAATGACAATGGTGTTTAAAATGTTAAAGACTTCATAAGATAGGCAAAATCGAGATGAATATTAGAACCTGTGAACAGTAGCCGCAGCTAATGTCTTAAACATTGACAAAATCGGGAGCACAGAGTTTTGGCTGCTGGAGCCTTAATTGCTCATGAGTTTAAAGATTTATATCAGACTTGTTTATTACAATACTTCCCATGTCACGGAAAACAAAAAAATTAAAGCTTTGCAACAGTCAATTGTAGTCATTTTTGCTGAAAACACAGGTATTTTTAGGTGACTGGATAGAAAATCACATCATTTCTTTACACAACTTGTAATGAATCTCAAAATTTATCCTAGTAAACCTCAACTGGCTTAATACGGACTTAAAGCTTATTATTAAACAAGGAAGTTTTTCTAAACATGGGGTAAATGTAGTACAGTTAAAGGGTGGGGAAAAAAAATCACAAACAATTTATGACTTTTTTTTAAACTGAACTTAGCTGTGTTTGTTAGCCCAATAGTCCCCTTTAAATAGTTTTAACAATGGTAAACTCTACTTTTGTTTAAAATAAGTTTTGTTAAGTTTATTATGGAACAATGTTCAGTTACCTAAATGAAATATTTTTTAAGTTATCGCTTCCTATTTAACAAACAATTTGACTCAGTCTAAAAAATACAAATCTTAAACCTTTGACTGCGGCAGTTCATTGGCGAGTTTCTACTATGCATTGCATCCTGAAATCCAAAAAGACGTCCAAAAAAATGGATTTTTTTTGCATAAATTTCTTTAAAATGCTATTTTCAGTCACTTTGCAAGATCTTAGGTTTCAAAAATGCAATTTAACGTTTTTATTAAACTTTTAATAAACGGGATATATGCCTTATTTTTATTTTGAAAATAGAAGGTACAATATACCCAAGCCACCCCTCCTTCTTCCATGACTAATATCCTTCTAACCTGCCACGTCAACGCTCAGTCTCTCCTAGCCCATTTTGATGGATTTTACGACTTTTTTCTCCATAACTTCTACCATTTAATTGCCGTATCCGAAACCTGGTTGAAACCCACAATCCTATCCTCCCAGATCCTTTTACCTAACTATACTCTCCTTCTTCATGACAGAGTAGATCGCACGGGTGGTGGAGTAGGTCTCTTTGTCCATGACAGTCTCAAATCCAAAATCCTTCACTGCTCTTCCATAACGGATTCTCCGCACGTTGAATACCTTTTCGCCGAAATCCTCACAACCTCATCTGCCATTCTGTTTGCTGTCATATATCGCCCTCCTAGAATTCCTTTCGATGAATCACTTGAGACTTTATTGTACAACTTAATCCCTTCCTACTCAAACATCATCCTCTCCGGTGACTTTAACACCAATTTACTGGCACCATCCTCTGATTATTCTTACCTAACAAACCTCTTTCATTCTCTCAGCCTTTACATAGTACCCTACAATCCAACCTATCATACTCAGTATTCAGAGTCCTGGCTCGATCTAATTATCCTGGATTCCTCAGCCAAACTCCTTGCCGCATCTCAGCACCCGGTCCCGTTTCTATCTTCCCACGATCTTGTCCAGATCTTTTACGATGTCCCTGTCCCATCCTTTTCTCCCCGAACAATATCCTTCCGAAACCTATATTATCTCACTCACGAAACATTGTCAGAAGATCTTGACGATATCCAGTGGGATCCCATCTACTCCTCAAAATCCATAGACACCATGGTAGAAACCCTTACCACTCAACTTCACTCTATCCTCGACCGACATGCTCCTCTTATCACAAAAACTATCCGATATCCTCCAGCTCCTTGGCTTACTCCTTCTTTGAGGGAGTGTATGAGAGAAAGAGATGCTGCAAGGCGATGGTTTAAACGAACTCGACTTCCTGATGATTTTCTCTCCAACAAACAGCTTCGAAATAGCACTCAATCAGCAGTACACCGTGCTAAATCCTGTTACTACCATCATTCCCTATCCAACTCTCCCAATACCAAGGCTACGTGGACTATTCTTAGAAAACTGACCATTGGTAATGCACCCCAGTCTCAGTCCAATCCCGTTTCTGCTGATAACCTCAACGCTCACTTTGTCTCTTGTCCTCTTGCAACCACATCTCCCACGTCCAGTCTGGCTCCCATGTTCTCTTCCTTTAATCCTGATCACTTGTTTCTTTCCCATATTACACCAGATGATCTCCTTAAATCCATTCAGAAGTCCCATACCAATGATTACGGTCCCGACAACATCCCAGTCAGACTGATTAAAGCCGCATTGCCATCCATTCTTTCGATCCTTTATCATATATACAATTATTCTCTTCAAAATGCTACCTTGCCTACATCCTGGAAAACCGCCCTAGTACGCCCATTGAAGAAGACTTCAAACCCATCAGCTCCTAATGATTTCCGACCGATTTCCCTCCTTTCAAACCTCTCAAAACCATTAGAGCGGTTAATCCAATCCCAACTATTCCATTTTTTAGAGGACAATAATCTCCTAAATCCCTACCAGACCGGTTTCAGGCCTGGTTATTCTACTCAGTCTGCCCTAATCAAAATTTCCCAAGACCTTCACACAGCCATAGATCAGCAGAAACTAACCATCCTTATTCTCCTAGACTTCTCCAAAGCTTTTGATTCAGTAGACCACAACATCCTCCTAACCAAACTTAAAAATATCTCTTTTTCTTCTAGTTCCCTTAATTGGTTCCGATCCTTCCTTACTGGTTGCTCCCAGTACGTTGTAATTCCTAATAACCCTCCATCAGAATCTCTACCTCTGACCAGAGGCGTTCCACAAGGCTCTTCCTTATCCCCCACCCTTTTCTCCATCTATATAAATGACCTCCCATCCTCTATTCTGCACTGTCAATACCACCTGTATGCCGACGACATTCAAATTTACCTCTCCTTTAATCCGACAGATATCTCAGATGCCACTCTAAAACTTCAGGAAGACATTGACAGAATAAGTGCTTGGGCAAACCTCAATAGGCTCACTCTAAACGCCGAGAAGACAAAAGCCATCTTGATCGGATCCCCTTCACTCCTCAAATTCTCCCCGGTATCTCCCAATCTCCTCCTGAACAACTCACCTATCTTATTCCACACCACCGTTGAAAACCTAGGTGTTACTTTCGATCAATCCCTATCCTGGAAACCTCACATCTCCCAAATTTCCCATCGCACTATCTCCACCCTAAAACAGTTCAATTGTCTACGATATCTCCTTCCATATAAGTCCCGTCAACTCCTAGTTTCCTCCCTTGTTTTCCCCAACTTCGACTATGGCTGTATGGTGTACGGTGGACTCTCGGAAGATTCCGAGGCCGAACTTAAACGCCTAATGCATTGCGCACTACGATTTGTTTTAGGAATCTCAAGGGATACGCATATTACCCAGTATTACACTGAGTTGAGGTGGCTCTACCCATCCTATCGCCGTCAGTACTTCCTAGCCACCTTTCTGTACCAAATCATTAGAACCCATCGACCCTCCTATATTTTTCACAGCTTACAATTCAAATATTCCATCCAATCCCGTCCCACCAGATCTCGTACTTCCGACCTCTATCCTCCTCCTCACCGAACTGCTGCGTTTGACAAATCCTTTGCAATACAAGCCGCCTCCCTCTGGAATTCCATCCCAGCTGATATTCGACACGCTCAATCAGTTTCCTCTTTTAAACCTCTCCTCTTTAAGCACCTATTCCTTTCTCAATCCGAATGATTGTGAAATATATCTAAGAGAAATATCTGAGCACCACCAGAGACTACCTCAATTTATGAAGGTTATTTTAGTTACTCATATATATGTACAATTTACTTGTTCTTTTCTTTCTCTTTTCTGTATTTTTATCGTAAGTCAACTTTCATTGTAAATATACAATTTAATTGTAACCACACAGACATACAATCTGTATTTATATTTTGTTCTTAAGGGACAACAGTCCCAGAATAATAAAACATTTTTTCATTTCATTTTCATTCATTATAATTGCCTGAGGATTTAAATATAATTTTTAGATCATTTAAGCTTTGCAAACATCCGTTGCCTGGCAACCTGATAAACAGAAGTTGACAAGATATAAGAATTACGAGTTCCCGTCCTGATTCCATAGGGGCTTTAAATTCTAAGCCTTATAAGCCCCCCGGGCAAAAAAAAATTTCAATTTAATTACAAAACCCATTTGATATAAAGGGACTCCCTATAAAAAAAATTATAACAAATTTATATATTGGACGTTTCCAGAACTCCTATGTATATGTGTAGACCAGTACTCGAATATACTTTTCATAAAATAAGAAGTGTAACATGACTATATGTTGCATTAAGAGCTTACATTACACTATAGACAGCTGTACTCATTATTTTTAATGTGAAACAGAGGAATTTATGGGGAAAAACTAGAAAGACCAGTAAAAATCTGAAAATCAGTGAAGAGAATAGCTGAACATCCTGTTAGTATTTGAGCAAAGTCATCAAAGAAATACAAAGTAAAGGGGGATGGTCTCATGCAATATCTTATTTAACTGGTGACACAGGTGATCATTCCCGCAAGCTCCACTCTCCTTAGCTCAGCGAAGCCATCTCCTCCATTCCAGACGGGTATAGCCGATGGGCTGTTAATAATGCCTCAAGGTCCAAGAACAATACCCCCCTCTCAGCTGTTCCGTAAGTATGTGCGGCAGAGTGGGAGTATTTATCGGGTACCTAAACTTCTACGGAGGAGGTAACACGATCACCGTCAGTGAGGAAGAATGTAAAATAAATGTAACCAGAGGTCCCAGCATGAAAAATAAATATAAGATAGAAAATATAATATAAATTTATAAGGATGTAAATCCAACAGACTTACACAAAATTAAAGCTGATAAAATTGACAAAAAAGTTGATTTTCATTCTTTAGCTCACCCAGGTAATTTCCCAATTATCCATACCTAATAATCACTCATTTCGAAAAGAAAAAGTATTTGTCTCACGTTTTTATGTGCATTTACCTAGCCAACTCTTTATCTCTTCAGTCTAAGAAAACATCATGAGGAAGAAAGTTGTTGAGGATTACATTTTCTTCAACAATATATATTCTTTTACTTTCTCATCTTCAATTATTCAAAAGATAGAGCAATTATAATTTTATGTGGTAATTCTGAGATTTTGCAGATAATCTTAACATTTGTATCTACCGTTATTCATAAATGTATAAATAATGCTTAAATGTTCACCTTTACATATGCACAGCACACCTGAATTCAAATTTACTTTAATTTAATGAGCTAAAATGAAAAAGTATAACCAACTTAGCTACACCTGAAATTTTAATATTTACAATTTACTAACATAACTCCAAAAATAATACAATATTTTACTTCATAAATCCTACCTTTTCACTAAAACCAATATATAATCCGATCTAGTTCCTAATAATAATTCTAATTAAGGATATCAGTTTTTAATTCTGTATTTCCACAAATTCTATTCTATCTATATTCTATTCTAAAATCACAATCACGATAAAATTATGACCTCTATTAATCTTGATTTTCATTATCTTTGTGACAGCCAAAAGCCAATTTGATGTCATATCTATCTTTCAATGTTTTAATAAAGTTTTATTTTCACAGATCTTGAGCGAAGAAAAGAGTAGAATTGATTCAATGGCAGAAGGTTTGGAAGAAGAAAGTAAAAAATCTCTTCAAATGGAAGCTGAGCTTGAAAAACAAATTGCTCAATTTGATACTGAAAGTCAAATTTTGAAAGCCAATCTCCAAAGAGAAGAAAAAAGGTGTGATTTTATATCTATTTTAAACTCTAAATCTTAACTGTCGCTAGATTTTCTCTATAATTCATCTTGTTTGCACAATAGTAAATTTGTACTGCTATTAATCTTAGCTATAGATAGTTAATCATTTTATATTCTATCTAATGGTTCAAAGAGAGAAAAAAAAGAAACACATCTTTTAACTGTCACCATTCAGCTTCACCCATAAGTTTGATACATCTGACCATCTTAGCCTCTGTCTCCTGATTCTGCTTTTTATATGTATTCAATGTGCCAGTTTTCTCCTTGGAATTGAAATAAGAGTTATGCAGATATTAATAGAGCTACGTTATTTTTTTGGCTTCTCTTTGAACCTCTTTCCTTGAAATGAAATGAATCAGCCTTTATTTATGCAACATAAAATTATTATGTACAAAATATTTTTTATAATAATATACACAAATATAAAAATCAAAATATTTTCCAGTATTTTTTTATAATTTATCTATTATTTTTCTCTACTCCAAAATAAGATAAATCATGTCTGAAAATCCTATATTTCTTTCTCCACCTCTTCATCTTTTTTCCCCCTATTCTCTCTCTACATCTACAGGTCCGACACTTGGTTAGACTAGTGCATTATCGACTTCATGTAGAACCTCTTTTCACTTACCGGTTTCCTCTGATTCAACCTAAAATTATTACTTTCCCCTACCCAGATGCCTTTACTCATGAAAAAATCTTACCTGACTTTGAAATCCTAGATTGAAATGCAATTTATTCCTGTTATTCATTGTTAACAACAACAACAACAACAAAATAACCCTGCAACTATTGGTTATAGTAGTTATATGTAGGTATATATTATTTTGGTTTATAAAACCAGTATTGATATGACTCATTTCCGGGGAAGTATATGCAATTTAAGTTACCTCTAAGAATCAATAAATAAACAAAAGAAAGTGTTAAATAAAAAATTAAAGATATTCAGCAAAGTACGTTTGAATGAAGTTTTATTATTATAATTATAATTTTTATAATAGAGTCCTTTTTTAATGACCACCGTATAGAATAAAGGAAGTTAAACTAAAAAAAAAATTTTAAAAAGTTTTATTTCTTGGACAATTAAATTATTGCATTAATATTTGTTCGTTAATACAATCGAAATAATGTACTAAAAAAGTTATTACAGCACTATAAATAAGCCATTTATGAGTACTGAATGGTGTGGTAGAGGGCTGTAGGCACCTATGCCAGTACAGCTTTTCTGTCACCTATGTGCATTTTCTTCAAATTTGGTCATTTTGGGGCAGTTCGTTCACTTTTTTTGTGGGAAGATTGGCTTTTTTTAAATAAATAGTATCAAGGAACACAACATTATGCAATTTATTGGGATGTGGGGATGAAAGTGCACAGTAGGGGGGGTCTGGCCCACAGACATGTAGAGCTGCTAGTGGGAACCCTAGCATGTAGGTTGAGTTCAACAAATCTTAGCCTTATTGTGTGTGCACAAACATCTGCACCATGAGCAATACACAATCGATGACAAGTCTCAATTGAAGTCTGGTAGTGGTTTCTGAGGATCTACACAATAATGAAGAGGTTGTCAGCTGGACCGTAGCTCTTGGATGGCCTGATCATGGCCTAGCATAGCTTCCTGTCTCCTGTTGCTACCTCTGAACTGCCTGCCAAACCCTTGTTTCAGGCTGGCCAGATATTGCTGGCTTCAGCTGTTCTCAATTAATGTACTAATCTGAGCGATTACCACCGGATCCAAAACCATTTTACAATCTTAAAAATATTTGATACAGATGAAATATTGTTTTTCAAGAGGAAAAAAAAACATAAAAGCAAAACCAATTCAATTCAACAGGAAACCGGAGATAAACTGAAGTCCACATTTTATTTTAATGCCTTTATCATTAGTCCTAAAGAAAATCATCAGATTTTCTCAATAGGATTATGCATGGTAATTCTCTTTGGCCTCTTATTACTCTAGGCTCAAAAATATTTCTTTAATCTGTGGTTTTTATGTAAAATTCAAGCTGTGGAGGTTTTTTGACTATCAGTTTATTAAGATCCCACAAAAAAATGGATAACCTAAATAAGGTTGTTTAAAATAGTAAGTTTCATAAGATCTATATAGCATAATATGAGATCTATTTATGTAGTACTCAATTTAAGCATAATTGTTTCTTTTTTATACATGGCTATTAAATTAGGATTTTTTTAAAGAGTAATTAGTTTAATTTTTTCTCTCCCACACTATATAACCTGAAATTTATTTTTAATGGGAGGGAGGTTGACTAATCTTCTGTGTTGATCTATATTTGAGCAATCCTTAATTTTTTTTATTTTTAATTTACTATAATATGTCTTTGGTCAAAAATAATCTTTATTTTACTGTACATCTTTTTTATTTTTAAGAAACTTATTCCTGTTATAGTTTTTTCCACCTATTCTAGTGGAATACAAATTTTTATAAAATAAAAGCTTCTTCCCTACCTTTAGAAACATGCCTCATGTTTTGATCCTTCACTGACTGGTTTATAGTGCTTTAATTCTATTATTTTTGCTATTGATATTAGAGTACAGTTCTATGGAATTTTAATTTATATCAAAATATAAATTAGTGAAGTCAAAAAAATTTATAATTTCAACATTATAAACAAAAGAGTTATGTTGGTTTATATATTTGTTTCTTCTATTTATTATACTAAGTTTTTGGATAAAGATATTTATTTTTAACAATATTTTTTGTTGAAGAGTTAAAGAACTAGAAGCAGAATTGGAAAAATCTCGTAATGAAACAGCTATTTTAGAGAAACAGTTGGCTGAATATCATCAAATGATTATGCATGGAAATGTGACAAATTTTCATAACCGTCCACCATTCCATCATGCTTCAAGGCATCCTGTTGCAGGTTTTGAATATATTTTATTTACTTGTTATATAAAACTGTATTAATGTGTAATTTTTTTTAATCCACTTTTCATCCATTCATGTATATTTTGGATTTGAAACTCAAGTCATATTATGGAATATGGTGGTTTATCTCGTTCCTGTTCCTGATAATTTTGTAGAGTTCAGAGTTATAACTACAGTTTAATATTATTTATAATATATTAACAATTTTAGTATTTATTCCAGTAGTTCAGTGATAGAACATAGTAGGAAAAAAGTAACAAAAATCATTTATTTTGTGAGTATATTGGTTAATTGACGATTTATTATAACTGATAATATCCTGTATAAGAGCATTTTCAGAAGCTAAGGTTTTATCAAAAAAATATTTATTTAATATATAAGCGAATTGCTTTATAGTGTGAACATTTAGTTCATGAATAATGTTAAACATTTTTGTGTCATGTGGGTGTTGTTGATGATCCTCATATGTAAATTTTGTACTCTTTTAAGTTTTTGTAATTATTTTTGCCAGTCAAGCTTCACACAGGTGAGGCATTACAGATCAGAGCTTGGATAACGTGTTTTATAAAGCATGATTTTTTTTTGATTTTTTTTTAGGTCTCAATTTGGATTTTTTGTTAAAATGCGGAAACATTTTTAAAATAAAATTTTTAGCTTTTTCCGTTTTTTTTATTGATAGGTGTGTTCCATGAATGTTAATGATCTGTCTATAGTTAAATCTTAGTTATTTACTGTTTTTAGGGAATGTAATCTGAGTTTAAGAAAACTGTTTATATGAGGCTTTAAGTTTACACCTAAGTGATTTTTGGCCCAGTAGATCTAGTATTGATCAAATTTTCTCTCTGCGACTGATGTGTGAGAAAATGAAGGAATTCTAAAACACTATGTGGCTGTTATTCATTGATTGCAGCTTATGATCCAGGCAATGAAGGAGATGAATATTCCTCTAAAAATCATTAGACTGGTAATGTGTACAATGAATGATACAAGCAGCAAGATTAAAGTTAATGGTAAGCTGACCAGCGCATTTCAGCTAAACTCTGGACTCAGGCAAGGTATGTTCTCTAGAATTTCTCTAGAATCCACTGCTTTCAACATTGTACTACAAACTATAGTAGCAAGAGTCTGTCTGGATGAGAATGGCAATATATTTTACAAAGGGGCCCAATTGTCATATGGCGATGATGTGATGTGATAGCTGGAAGGTCTCTCCTTAATGTCTAAGATGCATTCGAGAAGCTGGAAAGAGGGAGGCCAGACGGTTTGACCTAGAGATTGATGAAGAGAAGACCAAGGTTATGGTTTTGAGAAGAAAGGAACAAAGCCCCCAGATGTGTTATACAGTTGGAAACTACATATTCCAGTGTGTAGATAGTTTTAAGTACCTTGGGGCACAGTTTAAAGTGGCATTAGAAGTGGAAGAGGAGGAGGAGATCCAGGCACGCATTCTCTCGGCTGATAAAGCTTTTTTCTCAATTGGTCATCTCATGTGAAGTATATTGGTAAGCCACTCAACCAAGTTAAGGCTATATAAGACACTAATTAGACCAGTCACAACATATGCATATGAGACATGGCCAATTAAAAAATCAGTAGCTTTGAAGGACGACATATTTGAATGTAAAATATTAAGACCCTTCTAGGGCCTGTGAGAGAAAATAGGGTATATCAGATCAGAAAGAACAGAGAACTATACTCCTTATATGACGATATGAAGTTATTGGACTATGTCAGGAAAAAGCGTCTGAATTGGTTGGGTCACGTCAATAGAATAGATGAGGAGAGAACTGTCAAAAGGTTATACCAAGGTTATCCGGAAAGAGTTCAAAGTTTATTTTTTAATTTCTAATTTTGGAAATATTTATTGTTTTCTTTAAAAATTGGCTTTGAAAATTGTTTATAAAACAAAAAAAAAAAACCTGTACCACTGCAACCCATGAAGGGTCTTGAGTTCAGTACTATTTAGGAAAAACACTGTTTCTTGGCCTACAGTTGTGCAAGGAGGTGATTTGACCGAGATCACACTCAACCGCCAGGTTTTTTCCATTAACCAATTATTTTAATTAAGGGTACCTCACTTTATAGAGGCTGGGTGTGCCCCAGGAGGGTCGCCTCACAGCTAATGAAGCAGAATAAATAATTTTTCTGCCATTAGCCAAGATTCGAACCTGGGACCGTTAGCATTGAAAGCTCAGTACCCTACCACTGAGCTATGCTACTCCTAGAAAATTGGTAATAAATATATTAAATAGAGTTGGGGATAGAAAGGATCCTTGTGGGAGACTAGTCAGAATGGGGAGTATACTGGAAGCAGAATTATTTATTTGAATATAAAATTTTCTATTATAAAGGAAAGAACAGATAAATGAATGAAGTCGGGATGTAAATTATAGCCTTTTCCAGCTGTAATAACAGTATACCAATATGTTTCTTTTTATTGAAGCCTTTAGCTATAAAATCTGTAAACCTTTTCGATGGATTTACTGTAGAGTGGTGTTTCCTAAAACTGAACTGATCATCTAGTATAAATTTCCTTTTTTTTTTTGTTCTTCCCTATCTCGCCTTTTAGGCATACAGTATTTTCCCGGGCCAGGGGATGAGGGCAGGGGATTAATGCCAGAGTAAAAAAAAACCACCAGCAGTGGAATGTGAACTCGTATAATTCGGTTACCAGGTTGCTGGGCAACATGCGGTGCAGTGCACACGCATTAGACCACTCGACCACGCCGCCCCTGATATAAGTTTGTTTTGTCTGATATTGTCTTTTTAATATTAATCTTTCTAAAAAAGATGTGATAAGATATTAAGTAGATTTACCTAGTCCTGTCATAAATATTATTTCAAGGAAATATGCACATATTTCAACAGAAAAATGAATTTTTTCAAAAACTTAATCAGAAAATAAAATGTATATCTATAGATAAAACAAAAAAGAAATTACTCAAACTGTCCCCCTTTCTCCTTGACACAGGCATTTAATCTCCATGGCCAGTCATTAATAGCAGCACGCAGCACTTCTTGAAGAAAGCGCTTAACTGCTCAGATCAGATTGAGGCTTTCCAAATTAGGGTGTGCTATGTGGCATTTCATCCTCTCCAATTTGGACCAAAGCCTTGACCTTTTATCTTTATTTATAGTATCATTTAGAGGTTTGACAATAGGTTCCAAAGTATTGTCCTGATAGTTTTTAGCAGCTGTTTTAACTAATTTTTCATAAAAATGGAGCTTTGTGGTGCCATCAAAGCAAACTCCCTACCAAACCATCACTGAGGAAGTGTGATGACCTGGCTTTCCTACTAATATTTTTGATTACCATGGATGGAATACCATCACTTGGAGGTTTCTTTGTTTCAAGATTCCTTATAATTTTGCCTATTTCTTTTAGTGAGGTAGATGAAAAATCATTTTTTCCTGTTTCTTTAAAATAGCTACGAACTGATTTTATGATTTTTTAGTTGTAGTTGTGAAGTTTTAACATGAGTTTTTCCAGCTAGGCAAAACTATTGTTTGGTTTCAGTGTGGAAGAATTTTTGTTGTTTGTTTTGTGTTTTATGAATTTCTAGATATTTTTATATCTGATCCTAGATAAACTTAAAGTTGTCGCCCTGTTAATGTTTTTTCAGGTATTAATATGGGATTTGACAAAATAATTAGGTTAACAGTAAATTCCTTTAGTTTGTGGATTTTTGGCAGCTTTTAACAAACCCTTCAACACTTTAGAGCAAATCTAGCCTACCTTTCAGAAATCCATCTTCTTATACAGTTAGGAAGGAAGAGAAAGCAGTTTTGAGTTTTGCTAAACAATGTCCCATTCGATATTGGGGAGTTTTTTTAGGAATAGCATAGGCCTGGCTGGCACCATTTCTGCTCAAAGAACCACTTGTGATCCATTTGAAAACTTATTATACTTATCATCTCTTTTGTATGGAGGGGCAAATAGCATTGGGGGAGATACTATTTGAAGGTTTAGTAAATTTTGAAAATACTGTGACCATTCTAAAGTACCAATAGTACCAGATGACAAAATACCATTATTTTAAAAATTATTTACAATTTTCTAAAACTCAGTGGAATCCCGAATTACTTTTAGCTTATCCACAATCCTATTTGAATATTGTACTCTTTTTGTGTTACATATATATTTGTATTCCCTGTTAGTTTTTATGTAAAGATTTTTCACCCAACCTATATTTGATTTCCTAAATAATTTCAAAAGTGCGAACGAACGACTCCTATATGTTTCACATTTTCTATCATACCATACTTGTTTTGGTTTTAAAGCATTTCCCTCTTTCCTGTTTACCATGGATCATGGATGCGCGCATTGTTTAATTTGGTTCAATAATAAATTTAGCATTTTTTGGGAACCATTATACATCTAAATATTACCTATATTATTACTACTTATAATTTCTAATTTGATCTTAAAATGCCTTTCATCTTCTTTTGTCCAGGCGATTTTGGGCATCAGAGGCTAAATATCATTATTATTATCTTTTTATTGTTGCCTTTGCGGATTCAAAGCTGAAGGTGGGAGACAAGTCCAACCACCTGCAGTTATAATTTTTTTTAGATATTTAAAAACTTTCTCGTAATTCTGGCTGTATCCAAGAGAACCGCTTGCTGAGCCTCTCTTAACACATCCAGGGGTAATTCCAAGCCGTCCGTACCTGCCACCGTTCACTTTAGGATCAGGCCATTGGTTGATATTATTATTTATAATATAATATAATATAATATGCTTTCCAAATGGTACTACTCCTTTAATTCGATCGCCAGTTCTTAGTACTTACGAAGCTTCTCTCTGTGCTTATATTGTTATCGTTTTGGAATCGCGATATCAATTTGCCTTCTTTGCTCCTAAATCCATCATAAGGATATCGGGTCTCTTGTGACGCACTGTATGATCCGTTATTATAGATTCGTCCCAATACATCTTGAGGGAACCTTTCTGAAGTAGCCTTATCGGATTATATTTATAATACGGCACCTTTTCATCCAACAGGTTAAGTTTCATAGCCAGAGCTTGGTGGAATATTTTTGCCACATTGTTGTGCCTCTGCAGATAATCCGTACCAGCGAGTACTCTACATCCAGCTGTGATATGTTGAATTGACTCGTACGTCGTTGAACAAAGTCGACATTTATCAGATGTTGTACTGTCTTTTAGAACGTGTCTCCTATATGACCTGGTGGCAATGACCTGATCTTGAATGGAGACTAGAAAGCCTTCTGTTTCAGAGAATAACTTTCCTGCCGCTAACTATTCCAGAGATCTGTCTTTGTCTATGGAGGCTTCATTCAATTGGCTGTAGTATTTGTCATGTAGTGCCTTGCTTTTCCATTCTGACAGCCTTTCATTTTCGGACACAACTGTGAAATCTTCGGCTTTGTTCAATTATTATTATTATTATTATTACCAATAACAAAATACTACTGCACTCTAGTTTTTGGCTAGTCGAAATCTAGATACCCTCCTAGGAGGCTAGGAGGTGCCGAAAATTAATCAATTAGGTCCAGTCTTTGGTAATATGATGGTAGAGTGTCCAAAACTGAATATTTCCATTTTTCATGGACCATTTTTTGATTACCATTTTTAATAATAAACAAATGAAAAAAAATTGCCTGTTCTTATGTTTCAAAATAACATTGGTATATACAGAATAAGATGAAAAGTAAATGTGTGTTTCTTAATAAAATGTAAGGCATGTCTTATTTTGGTTATACCTCACCTTCAGAGCCTTTATGACCATGAAAATAAGATTAATGGTAAAAGATGCTATGACATGCTTGCCCAGAAGGAAATTACACTTCGAAAGAGCACCTTTTGACAGTTCTAGACCATTCCAAAAAGCTTGATGATTTACTTAATTAACCATCGATGGGTGCCAAATACTGGGAAATTTGTCGAAAAACTGAGATTTTAACCTATACCTTTCAAATGTATATATTTTTTTATTTAAAGATTTCCCTTAATTTGTAAAGACAAGTAATTTATCTTTTTATTAAATTCTATGAATCTCAAAAATTCCTGATTTTATTTCCTACTTCCCAAAATTTTATTTTTTATTACTTTTTTGAAAATAATTTTTTATTCTTTTTAATCTATTCTTTGTACTCACAAGTTAAGGTCAAATCTTCAGCTAAGCTTCTCTGGTTGAAGAGTTTCTTTTTAAACACAATTCTTTCTTTTTCTTTTTACTACAACATTTACATGTTTATCTATGGATTAATTATTTTTTTAAAGGGTGGGAAGGAATGGTGCCTGCTGTGTCCCCAGCTCATCAGAGTAATTCAGCAATGGGAAGTAGCGTTGCAAAAGTAATACAGCCAACTGCAACAGTTTCTAGTGTCCCAGTGTCTGGTCCAAGTAAGTTGATGATGCATAATTATTATTAAGAAGGATAAAAAATAATCAGGATAAGCAGTTAATGTTTATTATGTTTCAAGGCAAGAAAAGAACTGGGCGTTTGCGAATATCGTACCTAACTTAAATATATAATTTCATTTCACATGCGGATGGATATTTTACCCCAGGTACAATATCCTCCCACACCCAGTTCTTTTCTTACCTTCAAACCGTTGCCCTGATGATAACCAACATGATTGGTTTGGAATGTCGTCAAACTTAATAAATATCGACTGCATTTCCTGATTAGGTTTGATCCCTACAATTTTAACAATCAACCATATATCCATCTCATAGTTATTATTGGTTGGGGTTTGCAGTTAGTGAGAACACACAAATAATTTATTTTTTTTTATTGTTATTTGTGTATTCTCAATCTATATGTATATTATATGTGTGTGCAACCCCTAACCAAATTGTTCAAGGTTAACCATCATAATTATTATTCTATTTATAATATTGTAATACTATTATGGATTATGAATAAAATATGTTATGGTTTATCTATTTAAAAGATAAGTGATATATTAAGAGTTTTTATTCAACTCTTTCAGAATTCGTTCATGGTGTCAGATATGATATGAAAAATTTGTTAGGAAGTAATGAAAATTAAGAGAGATTTAAAAAATTTACAGATACTGAAATAATGATGAAAATATTGTTGACCATAGAACGAATTGATTATGGGTGCGGTCAGAGATGGAATTACACACAAATAAGAAGCCTTATTTTATTGTGTCGACATTTTAGAATTGTATTGGGGTGCTGACGTGGTAACCTTTATAAAATTAACCCGCCTCAGATGGGCTGGATACGTTATAAAAATTTCTGAAGATCAGGTCCCAAAAAACATCAGCTTGGAAGAACTTTGTGGCAAAAGAAGTAGGAGAAGAAGAAGGTTGTGGTGGATTGATGGTATTTCTGCAGATTCCCGATCCATACCTGGGGTCCAGAATTGGAAGGCGGCAACATGAAACATAGATAACTGAGGGTCAAAGCTGCAAGATACATTGTCTCCACATGAGACTTAGTGCCATATAAGAAGAAGAAGACATTTTGGAATAAATTTTAGGACTTCATCAGGGCTACATAAAAGCTGAAGAAATAATAACCAGTATGAAAAACTGTTATAACAATAATATGAAAAGATTAAAATTAAAAAATATGGTATGATGCATCTCACAATCTTTACTTACCACCATACATTCTGTATAATTTTTTTTTTTTAGATGATAAATCTCAAGTATATTAATTTTTTTATAAATAAAAAATTATGAAAATTGTGTGCACTATATATTTTTGGTTATCAGGCTGAAAAACTTTTAAGTTTTCTAGATATTTTTTTGTGGAAATTCCAATCAGTTTCTATTGAAACATTTATTCCCTATTCAATAATATAAAAATAGAATCATCAACTACAGCAATTAATTTTTTATTTCTCTCCATTATGTTCCACAAATTTATATGTTAGATATTCATTTTTCTAAAAATTTTACCTTGCCAACGGTATGTCGCATACATTGTTTCTTATTTATTATATTATTTCTCTTGTTTCTGGACATTTATTTTCAACCTGCAAAAATAGTTCTCCTGTTTTCTTCTTTAGTTTATTATCAAATTCTTTTATAGTTCTTGTTACATCCTAGGCATATACCTAACTTAAATACATAATTTCATTTGGTTGCAATACTTTGCACTGCTATATGCAAATATTTTATAGAGTTACCACAGACAACACTATACTCAAATTGACCATATTTTGGTTAGAAGGAGACAAAGATCTAGTCTCATGACAGTGAGAACTTTCAGAGGAGCAAATGTTAATAGTGATCACTATGTGGTTATATCACACGTTTAAGCTAGAATAAGTAATGCACAAATACCTAAAGGGGCTCAAATAGAAAGGATACATTATTATTACGTAAACCAGAGTAGAAGGAAGAATTCACTGAAACACACTAGTTTAATCTGTGAAATCGGGCCCTTCCGATGATGTAGTAAATGAAAGATGGAATCATTGCAAAATGGCTGTTGGATTTACATCCAAGTAGTTCAATTGTGTTATTTATTACATACTTATATGTCCCACGGGGGTCCCCAGTCTCATCCTGTCTTATCCCCTCTCGAAGACAGCGTTATCTGTATCTAAACGTTCAGGTACTTGATAAAGTACCCTGCCTCGATCTTACTTGCTCTGCCGACTTCACCTAGAACAGCTCACAGCTACCCTGAACTCAAGAGCGACCAGAGGAATCACAGACCGCAGACTGCGGTCTACCACTAATAATTTTATGGTACAATCATATTTAATGAACTAATAAACTAAAACTGACTGCCTCTTCAGGGATATCCATTTTAATCAATAAAAAAAATTAACAGCATTTAAGATTGTGTCATTCACAAATATTCCTCCCAACTCAATTTTTTTTTCTACTCAAGAAAAGGATATGGCATGTACTGGGCCCCCCCATCATTGTACAGTGGCCATCAAACAAACAACAGAAAAGGTTCTGGGTATGGAAGAATCCAACCAAAGGTCTGAATTGTTTGACTTGGAGAACCAGGCAGCAACAGACAGGAAAAACGAGGCCTGCATGAGAATGATAGAGAAGCGTAGAACACACCAAGGAGTTAAGTATTATAAAAACAGAAGGTGAGAAGACATGTATTCGCAGAAGGAAAAAGAATCTATGGAATATATCCATAAAAGAAAAAAGAGGAAAAAATAACAAAAGAAAAAGAAGAAGAAGCTAAGAAGCCGAGCAGATACAAGAGCTTTCTTCAGGAGTATAAAAACTCAGAACAAGGAATTTAAGTCTAGATCCATTGCTACTCACAAAGCAGTATTTTTCGGTCTTCCCAGGATTCCACTGTGGAAGGTGTAAATCCTGTTCTATGTAATGGCTTTGAGTTAACCGAACCACCAGATGAAAAGGAAATTAATGATTTCATCCAAAATTTGAAGAATAGAGCCCCAGGTTCTGGCAATATACCCATGTATCTTCTGAAGGTTGGTGGGAATGAGCTAGTCAAGGTTATCCATTACTTTCTCCATAACATTTGAATAACTAAGACTATGCCTGAGGAATACATTGACATCATCATCCCTCTCCACTAAAAGGGCGATCAAACTAATTGCAGTAATTACCGTGGCATGACTCTTCTGAACTGTATAAAAGTTCTATTCTAATATCATCTATCAAGGCTACTTTCACATGCAGAAAGAGTGGTGGGAATCTACCAATGTGGTTTCATGTGAGGGAAAATTATAGACTAAAATCGTTTCATTTCCTAGGGTGAGATTGAGCTCTAATAGAATAAAGGAGCATTTCAAGAAAAAGTTATTAAGGGGGAAAGTAGTACAATGTAGGTGGCAGAGAATAATTTTGTATCAAAGGATCAAATACGATTATTTAAATAATTACACTGATTCAGAATGAATCATTAAATAAAATTCCAGGGGATGCCAAGAATCAGAAACTCTATTTCAGGTAATGTTAAACTACCAACTCATCCTATAAATACTATAAAGTTTCATGGAGACATACATGATGTGTTACTAAGATAAGGAAAGACCAACATGGTTAGAATTTAGCATTGAAGAGAGTAGTTTAGGACCAAACCTAACCACAAAAAAGGTTATGACCGAACAAATACAAGTTATATACTTTATACAACGAAGATATAGAATATATTCTATATCGAATTTCGATTTAATAATACTGTCTTTGATATTGAAGTCTCCTATAAGGTTATATGAGGTGTAAGATATTCTCCACAGCCTTCTATATCATCGATAAACATATGTTATAAAAATAATATTATATTACATTTTAATATATTACGTATATTAACTTGATGAATTTCTTTGATATAAGAGTCTACTATTAGGTTATTCTAGGTTTAGAATTCGAAAATGATATTAGTTTTAAAATCGATTCATCGAATTTCGATTTATTACAATATTTATGATTTTATTGATATTGAAGGTATATATTCTTAGGTTATTGAATACGTTTTCATATTTAAGAAAAAAACATAAAAGTTGATGAGAAGGTGAGGGAGAAGGGTATGGGTGATCGATAAGAATTTTATGATATATCGTAAAATTGTTACAATATATGTATATATTTCATCATTATAATTTATATTCGTTTTTTAATAATATATGTATATATTATTGTCGTTACAATTTATATTTATATTTATTTGAGGTAGACAAGATGATACAACTTTTGACATGATGTCGTAGGATGTCACAATTTATGTCTATATTTTTGTCGTTACAATTTATATTTATATTTGAGGTAGACAAGATGGGACCAGTTGAGACAGGTTCAGACCTGACGAACTTGAAAATGAAAAAATACAAATTAGGATTAGGGATTAAGGATTAATATTAATCAAAATAAATTATATCGGCCACGTGGTGTACAAGTGGTTAAGGTAAGAATTGTCTAGGGTCCAAAGTCCAAAATTGCCCTTCAAATTCTAGCCCCAGAATCGCCATTTATACCCTACTGTTATTCAATTGCAGTTTTTTTTTTAATTATATAAAAAATGTTTTCAAATGAATATTGCGAAATCTCAAATAATTTAATGAGGTACTTACGAAATAATTCTAAGCTGAAAGATGGAATTCTTGAAATGTTCACTGGAAACAGAACTACAAACTTCGCAGTCACCAGCTAACATGTACACCTGATCTGGGAGTTAGTGTTTGTAATTAGGCGATATGACAATGTGCTAGACCGAAACAACTAACAGATAAGGAACAAATTAATTTTATTTCTTTTTTTTATTTATTAGTAATTATTGTTATTCAACAAATATACATATTATTGTTTTCCCATTTTTTTTTTTATCTGAATATATTTTTTTCATTTTTAATTAATTTTATTTATAAAGGAACCGTAGACCTGAAAAGACCCAAGGTGTCCAAGGCTAAAAGAAAATAACTTCGTGGTTGTATTGAATCATTACCCGAAGACAATATAACCCCAACAAAAAGCAGTCCAACATTCCTCATTATACAAAATACAGATGAACATGATTTCTAGAAAGTGTTAATTTATTTTATAAATAAATTATTGACAGGATTAATAGATTTAAAAACAACAAAATTAAAAAAAAAAAAAGATTTTGATTTCATTTTGAAGATACTAAAATACAAAAAAAAAAGAAGGAATTTATTTTGTATTTTAAATAAACAAAATAAATTCCCAAATAGATTTAGGTTCCCTGAAATATATGTTGATCGTCCACCAGCAAGTATTTAGTATTTATATTAAAAGTAATGTTTCTGAAAACAATTTAAATACTTCGTTATTAAAATATACTGTATTTCAAATAATAATTAAAATACTTTTTTCCGAGGTCTGTTGTAAAACCCACTGTCTCAAATTGTGACCAATTTTTTTCCAATTCCGCTCATAATTTTGGGTTCTTTTTGTTATTTTTAAAGGCTTCAGAATCGTATAAAACTTCCAAAATTTTGTCTGACTTTATTAAATCTGTTTCAACTAAGTGATCTAAACCTATTCCAGTCAATTTTTTCTTACTGCTAATCATGTAATTTTTGCCAGCTTTTTTTCTTATTGAAATTCAACCAAAGCCAAACACTTCCTGTTAGCGGTCTAACACGATGGTTTTTGGCATTAATGTGTTAATCTTTACTGTTTTCAATTTTTAAACCTTCCTCCGCTGATCATGTGGTTAAGTCTTTGGTAGATCTCAGACTATTCAGACTGTGACATTGCAGTTATCAAACCAACTATCCCATTCTGTTCCTTCCACTTTTCTTTTATGTAACTATCTTTCTTAAAATAAGCTTTGGAAAAATTCAGGACTTATTGCATTTTTCTTTTCATAACTTAATCTTCACTGATGAATAAAAATTTAAAATTCTTCCAAATACTCCTAACTTATCTTGAAATTCTATTCTAATTTTAAATTATATAGTGATGTATTTATACATGGTTGTTTATTTTCCTTATAACAGTTTTGATATAACTGATTCGAAATGTTATAGCAACTGGTGTTGCAAGAAGTATCTCTCCAGGACATGGTATTCGGAGTATTGGTTATTGCTCTCAAGTGCAGTCATCGATCCCTGCAAAGGTAATACTTCCAATTTTCATATAAAAGTAATTTTTGTAAATATACTTATTGATTGTGACAGTATGCTGTCGACATAAAAGGTATAGCTTCATACATGAGCTAGTCCATCTTCAGTCTATTAGAGTTTGTTGAATTTAGTTTGAGATTAATTCGTATTTGATTAGTCAGTTAAAGAGAGAGATAGAGAGAGGGAGAATTATCAGTTATGTGAAGAGTTATCAGTGTTAAGCTGAACTTACTTTGTTTTTTTCATTTGATGGAACAATTTAAAGTGAGATATTCACTATATTCTTGAACCAATGGTGCTCCGTGCTCCTGTAACTCTGTTGTAGGGATGAAGCTTGAGGTCATGGCCGCTCTACAAATGGTCCTCAATGTTCACGTGTTCGTTAAAAGAACAATCCTATATATCCTATATTTTAGTTTTTATGTTAAGAAATGAAAATAAATTTAAAGGAAGGAGATGGCCCAGTGTGGCGGTCATAAATAGTGACAAAACTATTTTATTAAAAGCCAACGTTTCGACCCAACTTTCCAGGTCTTCTTTAGGGGGCTAGAACGGACAAGATACAAAAAGATAGAGAATTGTGGAAGTTGCATAATATTTAGACAAAAAAAAATAAACAATGTGAATAAGCTTATTAAAATTATAAACAGTAAGTACATTACAACATAAACGGAGTAAGCTAGGTAACAAGATCCTAAACTGAAGTAAATAGATGGTAACAATTGTTGTAGTGTAATATATAATATAGAATAGAATAGAATAGAAAATAGAACTTTATTCTGGGACTAAGTCCCCTTAGAATAACAAAGATGAATTAATACAAAATAAAATACCAATCTGGCCAAAAACTAACTTAAAAAAATTCTAACGTAATATACATTATTTAAAAAGTAGTATGTAACCACTAAGAAATAAACAAAAAAAAAATATATACACATATATAAACACACGCATATATATATACATACACACACATAAACATATATATACATACATACACATACATAAATGAACATACAATCTTCTCCAAATTTACTTATTATTACGATAAAAAAAAAAGAAAAAAAAAAGACAGAAAAGAAATTACATATCTATATATACATAACGGCACAATTTATAAATAATAGCTATCTAAGAGAAACATAATTTAATACAAAATGTAATAATATTTACAGTGATTCATAAAATAATAAGCAAACACTAAGATAAAATAAAATCTCAGGAATAATTGTGGTATAAAGGTAAAAAAGGAACTATATATACGTACTTACTCATATTGCTACACAGTGAGACAAAAAGTATAAAATATAAACTTATATATACATGAAAGAAAAAGCACAACCTGAGGTGAAGAGAAATACAAATAAATAGTAAAAATAATAGTAAAAAATCATTGCTGTTTTATGTTAAAACTTAAACTGTAGGCACCACCATTTACTTCTCACAAATTCAGTTCATAAAATGAAATTTATGGTTGCGAATCGTCTGTTTGAGATGTGAGGAGATATTGGAAAAGGAGGTATTTGAAGGTTGACAGTGAAGAGGCATGACGGATGTTATATGGCAAAGAATTCCAATAGGTGACGGAGCGGGCTAAGAAGGAACGTTCATAGGTTTTTGTCTTGTGTGATGAAATATAGAGGTCAGAATATACTTCTGATATTATATGCAAATTTGAATATACTTCTACAGATCTATAGGAGAGATTGAAGGAAAAGGAAAAAGGATATAATATGAAATAATAGACATAAAGGAATGTGGAAAAAAAAAAGAAAACCAAAAATTAAATAAATAAGTAAATAAAATTAGAAAAATAAAAATAGAGACTTATAGGTGTGTTCAGATAGGAGTTTCACTTAGAACTGGAAAATCAGGATAAGGGCAGGTATTGGGGAATTCGCTGACTTGTTTGGGTTATGGGGAAAAACCTAGAAAATTACAGTATCTAAAATTTGAAGATATGGATGGATACAAGGGAAAAAATACTATATCTATGAAATATTAAATTTTAAATTTATACATTTACATATAAAATAGAATTAAGACATTATAGGTAAGGGTACAATGTGAATAAAAACAAAAAAGGAAGAAGTAAAACGTACATAAAAGTAAAATATAAATATAGAAATAAGAGACCATACATTGCAGAACTAACTTAAAAGTATAAAGAGAGGAAAAAAAATGAATAATTATAATTATATTTGGTTGTACATATATAAGAAAATTACATTTAAATATTAGATGATATTGAGACATGGTTAAAAAGTAAAATGAATACAAAGTGAAAACAGACAATCATACATTGATGTAAAATGTAAATATAACATTAAAATAAAATAAAAGAGAGATCATACAAAGGGGAAATGTTTAGAATAATGAACAATTAAATTGAATTAATAAATAAAAATTGAAAGTAGATAAAAATAATAAGATGTAATATATAAAGAAGAGAAGAATAGTTGGGGTGCTCAGTCAAAAAAGGAAGGCAAAAAATAAATTATAATATTTATTTTTTACATATGCCGACGTTTCGACCTGAAGTTCAGGCCTTCATCAGTGCTAAGAAAATAACCAGATAACAAGGTATGAGAAACATAAGTAATGATGGTAAAAAAGATAATAAAAAATGAGAAAATAAAATAAATAAAAAAATTATTAGAAAAATAAAATAATAAATAAATAAAATAAAATAAAATAAATAAAATAAAACCCGGCACCTCACTCCGTCCGATCACTTCCAACATTAATTATCCTTCTGTTAAACTTAGCAAATTCTTACTACCTTCCTTACAAATCTTCAGCCACAACAACCCTTATGATATACAAAACTCATTCCATCTCCGTGAACAGCTACTCTCCTTTACCATTCCAGACAATTTCATTCTTTGCTCCTTCGATGTTGAAAGTTTATTTACGAACATACCCATAGACAAGGCACTTACTATAATAGACGACAATTGGACTATCATTGAACCTCACACCTCACTTAACCGCTCCTCATATCTCGAATCCCTTCATCTATGCTGTAAATCAGGCTACCTCACTTTCCAAGGACAATTTTTTAACCAAATCTCCGGACTAGCAATGGGTAACCCCCTCGCTCCCGACATCTCAAACATCGTTCTCAATGATCTTCTAGACTCCATTATCCCTCTTTACCCTGACGATATCATCTTCATTCGGAAATACGTAGATGACCTCCTTCTAATCATCAATCCAAATAAAATTCCTGATATTCTATCACATTTTAACTCTTACCACCCCCGCCTCAATTTTACAGTACAATGCGAACTCAATAATTCTCTCCCTTTTCTCGACCTTCTAATCATTAAAAATCCCAATAACACCATATCCACAGACTGGTACACTAAACCAACTTACACTGGCAGACTCCTAAATTTCCATTCTAAACATCCCTACCACCAAAAAATTAATGTTGCGAAAAATCTCATCCACCGTAGTCTCTCCCTCTCTGATCCCCAATTTCATGTTACCAATACCAAACGCATAAAACAGATCCTGTCAAACAATAATTTTCCTCTCCATGTCATTAACAAACTTATAACAGACCACAATAATCGCTCTTCCTTAATCTCAACTTCCACTAATTCTCCACAACCCATTTCAGCCCCTATATACAGATCTCTACCTTATATTCCTAACCTTTCAGACAACATCAACAAAGTTTTACGATCTACTAACCCAAACTTACGACTTGCATTCAAATCTCACAACACTCTCTCAAAACTATACACATCCCTAAAAGATCCGGTTCCTCTCTCACACCGCTCTCATATCGTTTACCGTATTCCATGTTCTACCCCCAATTGTTTTTCATCCTATATTGGTGAAACCAAAAATCTCCTAAAAGACCGCATAACCCAACATAAATATTCTGTATCCTCTCGTAATTTTACTGCTTCCAAATTATCCGAACATTCTCTCTCCCTCAATCATTCATTTGATTTAGACAAAACATCCATCCTTGCCACAGTTCTCAACCATGACAAACGACTCATTTCTGAAACCCTCCACATCCAGCTTCAACCAAAGACAGTGAATCTTAAATCTGACAAACACAACTTTTCTTTAGCCTATTCGCAAATTCTGAATTTATTAAAACATCCATAGTTATATTCCTTTCCTTTTTGCTGACAACTCCCTTATATATATATATATGCGTGTATGTATATGTATGTATGTGTATGTATGTGTGTGTATATATATATGTATATTTATGTATATATGATATATTTTTATTTCAATTTTTCTTCCTTATTACTCAATAGTTATTTTTCTTTTGAATTTTTCTTTCACTTTCTATTAACTTTCATTCAATATTCCATAATTTTTCTAAATAATATATCTCTCGTACCTATTTAGGCTTCTAGCGTTTAGTTCAAACTTCGTCTGATAACCGTTAGGGATGACGCCACCTTCATATATCTTCTCTCTCCCCCTCCCTTGTAACGACTTTATTCTCCCCTTGACACTTAAGGAGAAAGGTAGTACTTCTTTTATTTCAGCTTTCTCAATTTCTTCCCTCCTTCCTTTCATTCCTTTTCTCTGTTGTTAACTCTTTATTATATTATACATTGTCTGTACATCTTGATAGACTTTACAATATCTCAATTTTCTATCTAACTACTCCATTCTCAATGTTTTAATTTTACTATTTATTTTATTTTCATTTCTTATATAAGTTTATATTTCTTTTTTATGTTTTTACATTTCATTCTAAGATTCCCAATGTAACACTTTTGTCACCCCTTTTTGATTATGCCTACTTCATCATTCCACACTATGTAACAGTTTTTATTATTTATCTCTTAGTTCTTAGTCATTATTCTAACAATTTCATTTTACTTTATATCTATCTATTTTATTTTTCTAATAATTTTTTTTTTTTTTTAATTTTATTTTCTCATTTTTTATTATCTTTTTTACCATCATTACTTATGTTTCTCATACCTTGTTATCTGGTTATTTTCTTAGCCCTGATGAAGGCCTGAACTTCAGGTCGAAACGTCGGCATATGTAAAAAATAAATATTATAATTTATTTTATGCCTTCCTTTTTTGACTGAGCACCCCAACTATTCTTCTCTTCATTATCCACGACAGTCAACCAATTACCAATTATGGATGTAATATATAAGTTATTTTTCACTTATAATATTTAAAATGTGTCTATATGTTAAAGAAATGCAGTTTTTATCTATTTTATGATTAACAGGATTCTGTTCCATGTGAATGTGGATGGATTCGTAATTGAGTCTTTTTTCATGGTCAGGGACCATGGCAAGAATTAAGGTTTTTTCAAAATCAAATGAATGGTTGAGGATTAAGGCATGTTCTGATAGTTTAGTGTACCAGTCAGTAGAAACATAGCCGTCAGTGTTTTTAATTATTAGGAGGTCTAAGAAGGGGAGTGAATTCTTAACTTCTTTCTCTATAGTGAAACGGAGACGAGGGTGTTAAGAGTTGAATGAGGAAAGAATTTGAGGGATGCTGTCAGGGTTAAGAACAAGGAGGAGGTCATCAACATATTTTTTGATGAAAAGAAGGTTCACAGAGACTAAAAGGTCATTGAGAACAATATTGGAAATATCTGGTGCTAAAGAATTTTCCATGGCTAGGCCTAAAATCTGATTAAAGAATTTTCCTTGGAAGGTGAAGTATCAAAGGTATATGAGGTATAACTCATTAAAAACTTACTTGAGACCAAACAAATTAACCGTCCCACTTACTACAACCTCATATCCTACAACTCCTTAGCAGCCCGCTTATATGGACTCCCAAAAATTCACAAACCTGGAAATCCCCTCTGCCCTTTCATCTCCAATATTAATGCCCCCTCAGCTAAACTCAGCAAATTCCTTTTACCCTCTCTCCATAAACTTAGTCACAATAATCCTTATGACATTAACAATTCATTCCACCTTAAAGAAAGTTATCTTCTCTCTATATTCCTGACTACTTTATCCTTGTTTCCCTAGAATCCTGTTAATCATAAAGTAGATAAAAACTGCATTTCTTTAACATATAGACACATTTTAAATATTATAAGTGAAAATTACCTTATATATTACATCTTATTATTTTTATCTACTTTCAATTTTTATTGATTAATTCAATTTAATTGTTCATTATTCTAAACATTTACGCTTTGTATGATCTCTCTTTTATTTTATTTTAATTTTATATTTACATTCTACATCAATGTATGATCGTCTGTTTTCTCTGTACCATGTTTTCTCATGGTATTCATTTTACTTTTTAACCATGTCTCAATTATATAATATACATATAATATTTTATCTAATAAAATATTTGATAAATATGGCTTTTAATAAAAGAGTTTTGCCACTATTTAGCCTGTTTATGACCGCCACCCCTTTGCAGGACCATTCCTTTGCAATAATAATAATAATAATTTTTTTTTGCTATATTTGTTTTTTAAATCATTTTTAAATTCATGAATTTATAATATATTTATGAATATGTTTTGTTCAGTAACTTTACATTCTAAATTTTATATAATTTTTTAATGAACTTGCTATAGAAAAAATATGATAAAATTTCATTTGTAATAAATAGGATGTTTTACTCTAATCTTAAGTAATTTTTTTAATTTATAAATATATTTGTCTTCTAGATTGAGAAAAGGGTTACTACTAGCAGTATTGTGACAGCTAATAGTAAGACAACAGTTCCTTCTTCTCATCAGCGTCCATTGCCCAATGTTGGCCCTTCAAATGGTACTGAAAAAAAACAACCAGTTCCAAGAGGAGTTCCTCCTCCTGTTCCACCTAATAAACCTGTAGTACCTCCAAAAAAAGACTCAGTTCTAATACGTCGAGGAGACAATACAAATTTAGATACTTCAAAATTTAAAGAAATAAAGCAAAATATTTTAAGTGAAAATCAAGAAGTTCCAATAGATGACCATTCTGAAACATACCAAAATATTAGTTCTTCTTCACAATCTGGTGTAGTTTGACTTATAAAAATTTATTTAGGTAAAAATCTGAAAATTTGTGATTACTTGAACTTCTGAATTGGTTTGGTACCTGAAGATATTTTCCCCCTGATTAGATAGTGTAGCTTTAATTTGTTTTCCATCGAAATAGTGTAAATAAAAGAAATATTACATTATACCCTGATTAAAAATGTGTAGTTCTTTTAGTATGTTAGACAAAATCAGTTTTTTTAATGTTACAGTCTTAAATCTTGTAGTAAGAAAGACCTTGTAGTTAGTGAGTGATATTCTTGTTAATATAACAAAATGTGGGCTGTTGTAGCTTATTTTATTTTTTTTAATGATTTTTTTTATACTCCATTTATTTTATTTCTTCTAATCCTGCAATTTCTTATTAGCATGCAGCCGTTTTGACACCACTGCTATCATCAAAATGATGTTAGTTGTAAATCATTAGTTATATTAAATTATTGCTTGAAATCATTTGTATACATTGATGAGTAGTTAAAAAATTATGATTTACTTGATCTATTTGCAGTCACTGTGAAATAATAAATAAAATGTAGGAAATAGTAACTGATATTTAAGGTCAAATGTGATATTATTTTTTTTAAACTTTTATTTGCACAAAATAAAAATATTTAAAAAAAGTATGTATGTATGTATATGTATATGTGAATATATATATATATATATATATATATATATATATATATATATATATATATATATATATATACATACACATACATATATATATATATATATATATACATACACATACATACATAAACTAGTGTGTATCAAAATTGGAAGAAAATCGTTTAATCTGGAATAAGTGGTTTATTACCAATGTAAGAATTACATTAATAATAAATTCTCTGTTTACTATACTTGTTTTAAAGATCATTTAAGGTAGTTAAATGTTTCTATTGTCATTCTCTTTTATACTTAAATTTTAATTATATTTGAACTATTCCTCTGTTTTTTCCACATTTAATATATAATTCAAAATTTATTGGTATTTATTCTCTGGATTTCAGTTTATTTGTATGAAGTAATCACTTTGATTGACTTTTTGCAATATAATATTTTTAAAAAAGGAAAATACAAAAAGAAAACTTTATAAAAAAGAAGGTACTAGTTCTCTCTGAATGTTTTTATTGAATGATATATATTCAAATTTATTTTCAATACTTGGCAGTAACATTCAGTCACATAATACAACTTGAGCATCGCCCATTATAATTATACATGGGTCACTGTAAATACCATCAATTATAAGACTGAAAATGTATTATGTAAGTTCATTGAAATGGTTGCATTTCTAACTTAGATATATTGTTTCAATACATTTAAAGGGTTTAATTCTCTCATGAGTATTAATGTGTTTGCTTTTATGTACTTCTTTCTTTATTGATGTTTGGTTTATGTCATCTAAAAATTAAGAATAGTCATTAGTTGTAATTAAAATTTTACAATAAAGTGAAGAAGAAGAACATTAGTTGAAAAGTAAGTGTATTTTAAAAGATATAAACATTTAATGCATTAATTTTACAGATTATATTTTCTCATAGTATTAATGCTTTGAGTGATAATTATAGAATTTATTGTTTGATTCATTATCAAAACGAGGTAACTAAAATGTTACTGTCATAGATCCTTATCCAGTAACAAAATTAAAAAGATTGATTCTGTTGTTTGGAACAATGTTTTCATTGAAATAACAGTATTTAAAAAAATCATGTCGTGTGTACAGATGAGAGTAGTTTAACATAACTTTGCTATAGTTTGGCTTACTAGGAAAACGAATTGGTTTTAATAATTTAATTATTTTTTTATAATTTTTAATCCAATTTTTCTTATGTATTCTAGTGTCAACCCTTTAAAGCTTAGTGGTCCGTGGACCTCGCCAAAATACCTACTAGTGCTCAGCCAGATTCGCGGGTTAAGTTGCAGAACTTTTGGTAGCTAGCTCATAGCTCTTGAACTCCCAATGTTTTATTTTATTGATGTTGAGATAGTAATGGTTTAAAGTCATTTAAATGATTTTTAGCATTATCTACCTTGATTTTAAAAAGTGACCTATTAGTCAGGCCATGATCCAGTCTCTACTCTGACTCAAGGTTAGAACATCTTCCAAGCTGTAATGGATTGCCACAAATTATTACAAGCATATTTTGCAGCTAAGGATTTGAACATTAAAGGGTTAACAAAGCTTTCAAAACAGCTCTACTTTTTAATATTAATAACTAGTTTTCATTTTTTATTTATTTTTATTTTTTTTAAGTACTACCTTATTATTTCTTATCTTCCAATTATATTTACATTTATTTTTGAAATGAAACAAGAATGTTAAGTAGACACCATTGTTAAGAAACGATGAAAACATTGTAATAATGAATACAAATCTATGATTAATCATTCTTCATCAATGACTTCATTTACTATGATGTAAATTTACTTCTCCTGAATTCATCATTTTTAGAACAATATTGAAATACTATTCTTGATTTTGCAAATCATTATGTGGAGATATTGAATTTTTTAAGATGATAACTTAAGTTATTTTTTTCATTTTTGAAATATATTAATTATTAAGTTTATTCTTCCTATGTAATCATTGTTTTCCATTACAAAAATTAGTGTACTTTATATTGTTTAAAAACCAATAATTAATTTTTAATATATTTTTTTAAATAAATAAAAAGGCTATTTTGTAAAAAATATCTTTTATGTGATTATTATTAAGTTTTAAACAATTGACAGTGATGTGTTGCTTTGATTCAACCCTCATAAAATTTAATAATTAAGAGCAGTTTATATTTACAGAGGGAAAACAATGTGAGTAGTATATTTTACAAGAAAAAATATGATTGAAATTCTTACAAATTTTTAAACATTTATAATATTTTTACTGCATTTTAAATTTTCTGTAAATGAAAGGAAACAATGTCAAACCACGAACAACAGTAAATTTTATTCTCACAAATTAACTATATACTTAGTCCGCTTCATTTATAAGCCTTTAAAGTGTTATTCATAGAAGATGAATTTATATTAATTATTAGTTATTATTATAATTTGTTGAAACGTGTATTTAACTAATATATAGTATACTATTTCATTTTATGAAATCGCTTTTTGAAAATTCTCCTAGGGTATTTTAACTTCTTTAACAAAAATCAGTGGTTAACATATGATATGAAAAAAAAGCCTGTTTTGTTTTCATTAAAAAATAAACAGTGATACATATTGATATAGTATAATAATCATTTTAATGAGTGATTTATTTGAAACTATTTTTATTCAGTTTTTAATATCTAAACAATATACTTTTTCTGCGAGTATAAAATGACTATGGCATAGCCTTTATTAACAGTATATGTCCTTTTATGAACCCATTTATATAAAAATATATTAGTCTGAATTTTCTAATATTTTTGTTTTATAACTTACCTTTAAGCCTCATTCCCATTTATGACATGTAAAAGGTTGACAATTCAATTATACTTTAGACATTACTTAATTCAACAATTTCAACAGTCTAATTTAGACTGAATTTTCTTTTGTATAATAGAAAGTCGAACTATGTAACTTACTGTAAACATCATAAATTGAAAAGAAAATAATATGGGTAGATTTATCTTAAAACCCAATTGAGGGTTAGGCTGCTTTTTTGCAAAGCTTTTTATATGTTTTTTTATAATTTTTTATGTCTTGGCTTTGTTCAAACTGACAAAACATCACGAGAAGGTGTTGGTTGAATGCATCATGCATTGATAGTGCTATCAAAATGGGTGTTCCAATACACAATGCCTTTTTGAAGGAGCAGGCATGGTGAGTCAAATCAACTCACTATCATGTACTCACTTCAGTATATAGTTCTTACAAAAATCATTTTTAGGCTATTATTTATATTTTATTATGATTCTTTTTTAGATAATAATGTTTTCTGATAAAAAATGTATGAAATAAATAGAAAATAATATAAGCTGTAATTCTTAACCGTATAGGTTGATTAATAACTTGTAGTCCTCATGTATTAATAAAATAAAAGTTAAAAAACAATGCAAGATACTAATAAATGAAATAGGACATTATAACAACAAAAAATTAAAAGGAAGAAACTGATGCAAAACAGATAAACCAACAAACCATGGTAATACCCACAAATATAAATATTGTGTATTCTTGATTTAAAAAAATAAATAAATAAAATCAGCTTAATACAACTGCATCATTTGATTAAATATATTAGGAATACAAAAAATAAATTTCTAAATCTAATATTAACATTATTTACAGAATAATTGACCAGTTTTGGATTATAAAATATTTCATTATTTTCTCATTCATTAGGAATTGTGTTGTATTGTTGTGTTGTATTGTATTGATATCACATTTGGTTGATCACTTAATTTTTAAATACTTAGTAAAGGTTGTGGATGACCAGGTCATGTCCAAATCTCCTTCACATTACTTTTGATAATCAAATTTTACAATTATTGTTCTTATTTTCCCATTTAATAAAATTGTTTCCCTTGAAATGGAATTCTTCCAGCTCAAGGCGACTTTCACAGAGCAAGTACATTCATCAATTATGCAATTCTCAGACAGAATATTATTAGTTTCATCCTTATACCAGACGTTACGGGCCCTACACATTTACGTGATATGGTTATAGCTTTGTACATGTCTCTTACATTATTTTCAATTCTATTAGTTTCTATTTCAATTATTTTATTTTTAAGATACTCCTTTTTTTTATTTGTTAGCAATTTTGTCGTTTCATTCTTTGATGTTTGTATTCCAAACATCGGAATGGAACAAGTATTCCAAATTGTCTTCGCTGGGATTATTTTAAGCTTTTAATTTAGCGGCTTTCCTTTTTTCACACATCTTTAAGCAATCTTCATCAAACCACGGTTTGTTATTCTTATTTTCCTTTTTTCCTAGACACGAGTTACCGATCGCTTTAATATTATCCCTGATCTTTACCCATAACTTGTCAATATCCT